CCCTTATTTTCTGAAACTCCCACTTCAGCGTTGAAGTACTCTGCAAGAAGAGGCCTCCACACGAAACCACCTTAGGGTTTAGGGTTTAGGGTTTAGGGTTTTGGTTTAGGGTTTAGGGTTTAGGGTTTGCCCGTACTCTCGTTGCAGGAGGGGGATAGAGACGTGTCCTCGCCACGCCTCGCAGGACAAAGCGCGGCATGCCTTCTTGGAGACCTCCTTCGCACCACCCAGGCCTGAGCGATGTGGACTTGGAGGTTCAAGGGTAGTTATAAGTGGGGTTATAAGTAGGGTAACTATACTTATAACCCCTCTTAGGGGACTTATAACCCTACTTATACCTACCCATGAACCTCCAAGGAAGTCTGATGCAAGACTCGGGGGAGATTAAGACATTGTCCGGGTGGTCTCGCTGATCGAGCAGCAGAAACATAATATAATGAATCACTGTGGCCTTCGTGACTCGGCTCGCTTAGGCTGTGCAAGGGCTGTATCGACATTGCTGCAGTTTCAAAGGCATCCAGCAGCAACTTCAGAGTATACGTTTTCTGTTGTTGTTTTGCTTTGCTGCTGTTGTCCGTCCATCTATCCATTTATCCATGCAGGCTGTCAGTCAGCTTAGTCGGCCGGTCAGCCAGTCAGTCAGTCAGTCAGTCATTGTGTGTGTTTGTGCGCGCTTGGGGGTCGGAGTTTGAACCCGAAACGCTGAGTCGCAAAGGCCAGGGCACCCCCCACTGGATAACGATATTTCAACAACCCGGAAACCACAAACCCTAAACCCAAACCCCAAACACCCAAACCCTTTCTAGATTTATAGATCTAAACCCTAAACCCTAAAGCCCACAAAAAAAAACAGACTAAACCGTAAACCCTAAGTACCCCAAGGGTCCATGTACCCAAATAGTAGAACTTTGGCCCTAAAGTACCCATATAGGGACTACGTTAAGGCCAATGTTCTAGAATTTGGGTACATGGACCCTTAGGGAATAGATCTAAGCCCCGAGGAAGAGCCCACAAGCCCGGTAGCCAGGAGTAAGATGCGGAAGTCGCGTCTCAGTCGTCTCACGAAAGAGGTCGCCTGGGTTGCGGACTCAGCGCAGGTCCTGCCTTCGTCGGGTTTGGGGCTGAAAGTGAGAGCAAAAAGTAGGGTCCCTATAAGTTCGTGTATACATTCTATGTTCGGGTTTATATTAAGAACCTACAAACAAGTAGGTTATGGTCGTTCAAGGTAAGCACCCAAACCTTAGCCCTAAACCCTACCCCTCGAACCGCAAACCTTAAACCCTCAAAGCTACAGACCTGAAGTCAGAATCACCTCAACTGCAAGCCCCCGGCGATCAGGAGTACCCTGATCCAATTTTTTTTTTGCATTGCAACAAAATTGCCCTTCCTCCCCAACCACCTTGAAACTTGTCTCCCCCCACCAACAGTTTACAGGGCCTGAAGCATGAACAATAAGTTCCCTTTGGCTTCCGAACATCTACACCCTCAGCACTAAACCCGACACCCTGTGTTTAATACCATTAGTTGATGTCTCTGAGGCGCAGTCGTACAAGCGCCATTTCGATCCGGAGCTGGTAGGCGATTTGGGGTTCAGCGGTTTAGGGTTGTAGGGGTCTGGCGTCTAGTGCTTTGAGTTCACGGTTGAAAGGTTTAGGGTTCAGGGCTGTAGGGGTTTGGCTTGTAGGGTTTTCGGTTTAGCGGTTAGGTCTAGGGTTCAAGGTTTGGTTTTAGGGTGGGTTTAGGGTGTTGGATTTGGCACTGTATTTACTAGTGTTGAGGTCCTAGGTTCATTCGATTGACCTATCGTTTTCTAGAGCAGTTGTGTTCCGTCTGGTGTTGCTTCGGTTGTGCCTGTTTGAGTAGTTTGAGCTTGGAGGAAGAGGGTTGAGGATAATATTGCGGCCTGTATATTCAGTTTCCAATGTACCTGACATTGTTTCCAAATTGGGACTGGGACCGCTTCCGGAAACCCTTCAGAGGGACCTTTTGCAAGGCGGCGGGTTGCCTTCGTGGAAATCTCATCCGATTCTAATCAAGAGCACCTGATCGCCTATCATTAGATGTCCTTTTTTTTTCAGTTCACTGGGTTAGGGTTTAGGGATGTTTAGCGGAGTGTTTAGCGTTTAGTGTTGAGTGAATTTTCGGGTGCAGGGTCCAAGGTTGGGATTTTGGGAGGCACGGGTTAAGTTGCCAATTTAGGGTTGAGGGTTTTGGTCCACTCTCGGAGGTTGACGGCAACACCCTACATCCTGAACCGCTTCACCCTAAACTCTATAGAGCCTAAGCAATCAGCGGGCTCATGTTAGCATTTAATTGTGATACTGCGCATGATTGCTTGTATCTGGTGGCTCCCATGCCTTACACAAGACATTAAGTAAGCCTTCTGCGTCCTACACCCGAAGGAAGCATCCCTACAGCGTCAGGCTCATTGAACTTGATCGGCGCCGGCACCGATGCGCTGCAAGCCATTCAGAGAGCTGCCGTCACGGACTCAAGTGCTTGAGCTTGAGGGTAGTTCTCAACTAGAGCCCGTGTGGAGGGGTGTTCTGAATCGAAGGTAAGTTCCCTCGGGGGTTGCTTCTTGCTAAACTCCGCGACACAGTCGTCCTTGTATAACCTCGTACAACGCCGCGATGTCATGCTCATGTGTGTTTCGGGTCCCTTGAAGAACCACCTTTGCCTCTGGTGTACTTGTACCCAAGAGACTGCACTCTCAAGTCTTCCGGGAGCTTGGGGCAAGCCATATACCCTCTACACCCCCAGAAGCAGTCGGAGCCAAAATCCTGGACAAAAACACACACAACATAAACCCCTTAACCCCGCATTGCGAGCCCCTAAACCCATAAGCCACCACTCAAACCGAAGCACAACTCTCAGCCCTCAATCCCTAAACCATAAACCTCATGTAGATCCCATAAATCTGAAGCCCACATCCCAAAACCCTAGTCCCGCATGGTAGGATTTCTAGGGCTCAGGAAAAACAGCCCCCAGATCCCCTAGCTCCTAAACCCTAAAACCACAAAATCCCTAAACCCTAGACCCCGAAAAAAACCCTAAACCCGTAAGCCCTAAACCTCAAAAACTCAACCCCAAACCCCAAAATCCCGAAGCCCTAAACCCCAAAAGCCCTAAACCCCAAAACGCCTTAAGCCCTAAACCCGATCGAAAAGCCCTAAATCCCCAAACCCCTAAACCCGAATCCCCAAAAACCGCAAACCCCTAAACCCCCAAATCCCTAAACCCCTAACCCCCAAACCCTAAGCCCCAAAAACCGCAAACCCCTAAACCCCCAAATCCCTAAACCCCTAAACCCCAAGCCCAAAATCCCTGAACCTCAACACCCCTACACCCCAAAATCCCGAAGCCCCAAAACCCGAAGCCCTAAACCCTAAACCCCAAGAGCCCCAAACCCCAAAATCCCGAAGCCCCAAAACCCGAAGCCATAAACCCTAAACCCTAAACCCTAAACCCTAAACCCTAAACCCTAAACCCGAAACCCATAAGCCTCTAAACGCTCTGTTGCAAGGCCCTCAAGGATGAAGCTGTCCGGGCCGCCGAGGAGGAAGATCGCCGGGAGCTCAGGGCTTTAGGGATTTAGGGGTTTAGGGGTTTAGGGATTTTGGGGTTTAGGGTTTAGGGTTTAGGGTTTAGGGTTTAGGGATTAGGGATTTTGGGGTTTAGGGTTTAGCGATTTTGGGGTTTAGAGTTTCGGGGTTTTGGGCTTAGGGCTAGAAGGTTTCCAGCTTTCCTGGCTTGCTGGGGCTTTCAGGGCTTTGGGGGTTCTTGGGGTTAAGGGTTCGGGTTCGGGGTATATGGATCTAGGATTTACGAATTTACGGGTTTACAGCAAGTTTGGTGGGTTCAGGTTTTCGGGCTTCGGGTTTGGGGTGGTCTGTTGCAATTTTGAGGTCGGGCTTGCGGACTCAATCAGCGATTTTCGAGTCTGGTGTTTGGGGTTACCTCATGCTTTTTTTCTGCTTAGGGGTGCGTTAGGGTGCGAGGGTCTAAGTAGATTTAGATGTTGAACCCAGAAGTTCTCCGAAAGTCATGAAGTCCTTCCGGGGGAAGCTTGTGAGTCGAAAGATCTTGTTGGTCCGCTCACACCGCTTGGGGTTTCTGGCAGCTTCAAGTTGGTTTAGGGTTTAGGGCAGGAGAGGTAATTGCCATGCCTGTGGGATCTCAAAGGTTGCTCAATGTTCCTGGTTCTTAACATGTTTAGGCACCGCTTGTCCTTTCCCTAGCATGACTTATCAATACTTGTACGGTTGTGGGCTTGACGCACTATGGTCCATAGCTTGGAGTTGTGTCATGAGTTCTTGCCAGGTCGTCTATGGCCGCAATGATGTGGCATAGTGGAGATGTCGCGTTTGGACTTTGCCACAGGTATACCAAGTTCCCTTTTGTATTCAGGGTTTCACATGTATGTATGTATGTATGTA